AACCATCTATAATAGATCTGGTGCCCTTTGCTGGTGTGCAGGCAAAACACTGTATAAAAACTCAAAAAAAAATAAAGTACAGAGCTAAACAAAGAATTCTCAATAGAAGAATATAGAATGTCAGAGAAACAAAGAAATACTCAACATCATTAGTCCTCAGGCAAATGCAAATCAAAACAACCCTGAGATTTCACCTTATACCTATCAGAATGGCTAAGATCAAAAACTCAAGTGACTGCTGGAGAGGATGTGGAGAAAGGGGAACCCTCCTCCATTGCTGATGGGAATGTAAACTTGTACAACCACTCTGGAAATCAATCTGGCGCTTTCTCAGACAATTAGAATTAGTGCTACCTCAAGATCCAGCTATATCACTCCTAGGCATATATCCAAAAGATGCTCAACTATACAACAAGGATATTTGCTCAACCATGTTCATAGCCGCTTTATTCGTAATAGCCAGAAGCTGGAAACAACCCAGAGGTCCCTCAACTGAGGAATGGATACAGAAATTGTGGTACATTTACACAATGGAATACTACTCAGCAATTAAAAACAAGAAAATCATTAAATGTGCAGGCAAATGGAGAAAACTAGAAAAGATCACCCTGAGTGAGGTATTCCAGAAGCAGAAAGACACACACACTTATAAGTGGATATAAGACATATAATATAGGATAATCATACTAAAATCTGTACACCTAAAGAAGGAGGACCCTAAGTAAGATGCTCTATCCACATTCAGAAAGGCAAATGGGATAGACCTAAGAAGATAGAAAATACAAGGAACAGGACAGGAGCACACCACAGAGGGTCTCTGAAAGACTCTACCCAGCTGGGTATTAAAGCAGATGCTGAGACTCAGAGCCAAACTTTGGGCAGAGTGCAGGGAATCTTATGAAAGAAGGGGGAAGGGGGGGGCTGAGAAAAGACCTGAACAGAGCTGGAGCTCCACAAGGAGAGCAACAGAACTAAAAAAATCTGGACACAGGGGTCTTTTCTGAGACTGATACTCCAACCAAGGACCATTCATGGAGATAACCTAGAACCTCTGCACAGATGGAGCCCATGGCAGCTCAGTCTCCAAGTGCATACCTTAGTAAGGGGAACAGGGACTGTCTCTGACATGAACTCAGTGGCTGGCTCTTTGATTACCTCCCCCTGAAGTGGGAGGCAGCCTTACGAGTCCACAGAGGAAAACAATGCAGATAGTCCCGATGAGACCTGATAGGCTAGGGTAAGATGGAAAGGGAGGAGGACCTCCCCATCAGTGGGCTAGGGAAGGGGCATGAGAGGAAAAGAGGGAGGGAAGGTAGGATTGGGAGGGTGTGGGGAAGAAAGCTATAGCTGGGATACAACGTGAATAAACTGTAAGAAATAAAAAAAAATTTAAAGACTAGAAAAAATTATTTTTAAAAAGGAACATTTACTAATATTAAATTCCAAGGTGATTATGGCTTTTTGTTTATTAATCTGTACTCTCTACTATGTGTTCATTTGGCCACAGGGAGATACTGTCTTTTCAAAATAAATAATGGGTTAGAATGCTCAGAATTCTGTGGTAGTTTTTGGTGCTACAACATAAAAGTTCCTGCTCCACAATCTGACGCCCATGCTCCTTTATAATCTGTTCCCATCTAATGTCTTGTCTTAGAGTCTCCTCATCCCTACCTTGGATGGGAATTTATTAGCATAATAGACTTCAGGCTCTAGAAGAGAAGAGTGCCTTGTGTTAATAACAGTTTTGGAGTCTATAGTTCCTAGTATAATCCCTGCTACCTAATAGTCACTCAGATTATTAACACATTTGGCTAACAAAGTAGAAACAACTAAGGTACCAACAAAGACTTGCAAGGTATTGTCTGTAGGGCTTGGAGACTTGGAGTACTTGAAGTGGAGGTAGCAGGTCCTAAGGAGAGAATACAGGTAACAGCCTAACAGTGGGGCTTGGAGACACAGTACAGATCACAAAGAACAGCAGGGGATGTGGGGTGGAAGGAATGGTGGTGAACACATAGCCTGAGATCACAGGGAACCTGGAACCATACCCGCTTCATCTACTGCATGGGAAGCAAGCAGAGGGACTGGATAAGTAAAGGGGTAGTTCAGTAGAGTGGAGACCAAGAAATGGCTCTGCCATCTAAGAGCTTTACTGTCTTCCAGCTTATGGACAACAGCTTAGCATTTCCTAATGATTCAGAAGCTCTAGCATCCTCGGTTCAATTTACAATGCCACAGGAATACAGATGATGACAAGTGGCCGTGTAATACTATGTGACTTCAGCTACAGTAGTCACAGAACATGACTGGGATTGCTGCTCACCTCTCACACTAGGACAGAGACTACTAGTAACTGCTAGCCCTCCACTTTCCCTTTCTTTAGTAATGTGTATTATATGGGTGAGTATGTGTGCATGTTCATTTGTGTGTAGGCATGTATGTGAACAGGTATGTACCTATGGAGGGCAGAGGTCAACCTCAGGTGGGATTATAAGGACATACCATCACACATGGATTTTTTTTTTCTTTTTAACATGCATGGGTTCTAGGGATCCAACTCAGGTCCTCATGCTTATAGACCAAGCACTTTACCAACTAAGCTGTCTCCTCAGCACTACCCCATTTTTAAATATGTATTTAGTCAGCATTTACATCTGTGACCCTAGTGTGCCCAGAGGCCTGAAGAGGACACTGGCTCCCCTGGATCTGGTGTTACAGATGATATGAGTCACCATGTGGATACTAGGACTTGAACCCATGTTCTCTGAGAGAGCAGCCAGTACTTTTAACCACTGAGCCTTCCCAGCCCCTTTTTCTTAAAGACAATGTGTGTGTGTGTGTGTGTGTGTGTATATATATATATATATATATATATATACACATTACATTATGTCTCAAGAAAAACAACAAGATTACATTACTATACATGACAGTCACTGAATTAATAAAATCAGTGCTTGAAAATTTAAAATGAAGTTTTCTCAAATACTCTGGTTGAAATGAAATCTGATTTAAAAACTTTAATCCAATTACTTTGACTTTTAAGAAACAGAAATGTTTGTAAGGTCTGGAGAGATGGCTCAGCTCTTTAGAAAGAATGCTTGCTGTTCTTGCAAAGGGCTTGTGTTCAGCTCTCAGTACACACATCAGACTGCTCAAAACTCCCTGTAACTCCAGCTCCAGGGAATCCTGTAACTTCTTCTGACCTCCACAGGCACCACACATGTGCATACACACCCAGACATACATGTATACACATAAACAAAAGTTTATACTTAAAAAAAGTAAAAAAACTTTTTTAATCCTCAAGAAACTTTCATAGAAAAACCCATAGCTAGCACGTGTTAAGTTCTTCCTGTAAGCCAGAAGTCCTGAGACCTCAGGTGCATCATGCTTTAATCTTCACAACAGCCCTGTTGGATACTGTGTGATAACATCATTCATTTCCTGTGTAGTTCTCCTAGAAAGTATAAGGAATTTGCTCAACCAGTAGCATGAGGACCTGGATCCTGAGCTGTGTAACTCCAAAGCCCATATCCTGAGCACTAGGCCACATGTAAAACAAACAAGAAACCACTAAAGAATAAACACTTCTAACTGGCAGACTACTAGGGATACAAAACACAAGGATGAACAGCAATTAAGCCAGACAGTTTACTGGTTCTGAGAAGTTACAAGTCTAAGCTAGATCTCAAAGAAAATGGTCATCTTTGCAGAGGTCAAAAACAGGAAAAGCAGTGAAGACAGAATAAAAAAGTGTGCAGGGAACAAAATGAATGCCTGAGCCATGACTACCCATCTCTGGCCTCCTTCTATGACATTTTGTTTCCACATACACTACCCTCTAGCTATACTAAATATTGATCATCCTGCAAATGGGTGACATCCATACACTTCCACAAGCTGGCACAAGTGGTACCTACACACTAATTGTTCTCACCTCCTACTTGGCACAGAAACCATCAAGCACCTCTATGGAATCCCCTCTTGGCTCTAGGAAAGGCCATCTCTTCCTTTCCACACTCTGTTTCATGTTAGCATCCCTCCCAAGTGCAAAGCAGACTGCATGCTGCTCTAACTTGCTTAAAGAACATAATGCATACTATGGATTCTTCCTCTGAACTGACTTGAGAAACAATGGGGTGATAACGTTTGGACAGATATATCAAGTATCAGTTCAAGCTCCATCCCCAAGACCACATCAGCCAAAAAAAAGATGGCTGTGAGGCACTGAGATGTTTGCTCTTAATTGAGACTCAATGGGATTCTCTGCCTCTCAATTTATCTCTCCTGGATCACCAAACATAGCTCATCTAAGCATAGCTCACTATCACCTCCTGGGCTGTAAGCCCAGCCCACATGGATCTTTGTTTGACCTGGTTAATGCGGTTTCACATGAGCCAGCAACAGCCACAGTCATTGCTTTCCACTCTCCTTCCTCCCAACCCCCATCAGCTATCTCTTGCTCTCCTCATTCTCCTCCTGGCTACAGAGTGAGCAGAGGAATTCTGAGGGCCCCGTTATGCTCTGAAGCAGTTCTCTTTCAAAGTCAAGCCCATGAAGTCATGGGCATTTCCTACTCCAATGGGGAGGGCTTTAAGATTAACTATTTTAAAACCAGGTTCCAAGTTCTGTGTTTACCTCCCCTGTCACTTCACACCTGGAACCAAACACAGAAATCCAAAATTTATTACCTTAAAAGGGGGGGGGGGGTAAGGCTACAGTCATACTCGTACAAAATCACAACTCATGGCACCTCTGTTTGTCTGTGGCTTTGGGTGGTGAGACGAGAGGCAGCAAGGCACAAGTACAGACCTGTATCATCACGCTGCCAGCTCTAACGACCCAGAACTGGCTGTGGAAAGCTGGTCCATGTAAACACATGTCACAAACAGCATGGCTAGATCATTCTCGACTACTGTTCAATTACAAACATCTCTGAAGACAAGCTATTATGTCTGTTTTCAGAAAGCCACAGCACTCAAGCATCCAAGCTTTACCCTTTGGGGTCAAGAAGGTCTCGGACTTTTTCATTGTAAATTTCCATGTAGGACACTTCAACTTTAAAGCTCTGTTCTTCATTTTCCTCTTTCTGGGTTCGTTCGAAGAGTCCACTGCAGAGTCTAGGGATTAATCCAGGTTGGTCAGCTGTGCCCATCATGGTGTACGACTTTCCAGACCCTACCAAACAAGAAGCAGCCATTAATATTTCTTGGAGAAATTTAAAGGCATCTAATCCTCTACTTACAATAAATGCTTAGGACTTAGCAAAATGCACAAAATATAATAAATAAATATACATATATGTGAATAGAGTAAGAAATGCATTTAAACATAACAAGAATGGAACATACAGAAGCTATCTATTTCTTATATAAAACAAAATAAACATGGTCCAGAAAGAAAAAAAAAACCTTGCCAGACATGATGACTCATACCTCTAATTCATCACTCAGGAGACGGAGAAAGAAAGATCAGGAGTTCAAAGCCAGCCTCCACTACTTGACAAATTATCTCAAAAAAAAAAAAAGATAGACAATACTGTAATATAGATATTCCTAACTACTGAAATCAAAGTGCAAAAGACACAGGTACCCATGGGCTTTGGGGCAAATCAGCTTACTGAATTCTTGTAATAATGTACAGAACAAACAATAATCTTCCTCTAATATACAAGTATTTTCTCCATTGTAACAGAAACACATATTCACTGAAGAAGACTCAGAAGCCAGTTGTGGTGGCACACACCGAGGGAGGGAGGGAGGGAGGGAGGGAGGGAGGGAGGGAGG